GGTCAGGTGTGCCGCGGGGTCGGCGGGAGCCATCTCTGCGCCAGCCTGGGCTTTGCTGAGATCCATCTGAGACAGCAGCTTGCCAGGAGAGGCGGCACCGGGGGCGGCCAGGTTCCCAACGGCACCATCTGGAGCCTGGAAGGGTTAAAGTAAGGGAGAGCTACTGGAAGTGCCCCGCTGTCGAGGATATGCCGTCTGTGGGGGGGCTGGGATCACCCCTTGGGACCTGCACTAGCCCTCACCTGGAAAACAAATAATGACAGCAACTCTCTTCTTGCCTCCAGCCTTGCCCTCACTCCATCAGTCATTACCAAGCTCAAGGAGAAACACATCCCGAGAGAAAAATCTCCAGTGTATTATCAAAAGCACCACTGTCGGTGCTCGGGCTGAGCGCGGTACAAATTCGTTGCCTTTTTTCTGGAGAGGGATGGGATCTATCCCTGTCTCTGGCTGTCAGGGCCATCAGTCCCGCTCTCGTTCCCTCTGCAGCAATAGTGAAGGGACAGCCAGGAGCTGAATGATTCCTGCATTGTCCAGACCCGCTTGCAACGATGACGTGCTCTTACCAGCGGAACCAGTGAAAGCCCAGCTAAAACTGGGACAGCACACGCCGTCGGGAGAGATTCCCTCTTGCTTGACGAAGACGTACGAGTCCCTCTGACAAGAACCAGGTGGTTACACGGCCCCAGAGTCCACCAGATGTCTGATACTGGGACAACCGGAGAGTTAGGATTTGTATCCCAAGGCAGATGGCAGCACACCCTGGAGGGCACCGACAAGCTTCAGTGAAACACTTGGAAATTCCCTCATTTGAAGGGCTCTTCGAATGCCTCTGGGTCCGCTCCGCTTGCCTGAACCCTCTCCAGGTGCACCTGCAACCTGCTCCTGCCGAGAGCCGACGGCCTGTGCTCCGGTGCTCTCCCCAGGCACCCTCGCCGCTCCGAGCTGACATAACTCAAGCTCCAAAGCAGCTTCTCCAGCTACAAAAGCAGACACCCACCTCTTCGGTCACGCTTCTCTGCGCCAACTTGCTCACCTTCCTCCAGCACTGACAAGAATCGCTTAAGCTTCAGTCTGAGCCCCCCCCCCACCTGATGCTCATGCAGGTCACATCCTGCTTTTCCACGCCTCGTGCAGCAACTTAACAGCGTTCCACCAGCTATAATGAATATTTCCGCCCCTGGGAGTGGAAAGGGTCAGACTTCAGGAAGAGAAAAGTGTTTACTGCCTGCTTCCAGCACATCCAGCACCAGCAGCCAGCTCTGGGCAGTGGCAAGGGCTGAGGTCAGAGCCTTCCTCCTGCCATCTGAGGCAGACCCCTGCCCAAAGCTCAACCCACAGTCTCAGCGTGCATCGCAGCGTACATCTTCGTGCCGCTAAGTGGAAAACAAAGAGCGTGATCCAGCACGAGCATCACTCCACACTTTATGGAGCTACTATCGGGATCTAATCAGGCTGCAGGGCGGAACACATACAAAATTCAAACTGCTGTGGAGCAGTTTCTTGCAAAGAGAAGCTGAAACTTGCTCGTATTTTCACTTCAAAGCCACCCAAACACTCTTGCTTCTTCTTACTCTGCTACTCAGGGAAAGCGTTTGCACCAAACTCCCGGGGAGATTCCTCAGCCTTCCGCCTCCCATTTAACGCTCACGGGGGAAGGAAGAGAGTTACCCACTCGGGCGGCATCTCAGCTGCTACAAGCATCGCCCCAGAGTTTAAAAAAAATAAAATAAGAGTCGCAGAGCACAGCCAACGCGTGGGCTTCCCACTTCCTGCGCAGGCACAGCGGAGCCGTCAGCTGGAATTTCCAAGGGAAGCCAACCGACGACAGCTCTGGCTACTGCTGAAAGCACGAGAGCTTCAACCCCCCGAGTCATCCCCCAAAGCCTTGGGTGAATTTGCTCTTTCCCAGGAAGCCCTGCTGGATTACGTAACCCCGCTGTGCCAAAGGTACGCGCGAGCTGACGTCAGGGGCTATAATTAGTTACAAAAACACCCGGCTCGTTCCATTTCCGGTGAAAACCAGCCTGCGGATGGCTTTGGAAGCAGCTCTCGCAGCCGGCCACGCCATCGGGCGCTACCTTGAACGCACAGGCTGGGCACCGTCGGTAAAAGCCACAGCGTGCCATCCAATATCCCGTTCCGAGCGCCACCACCTTAAAACGTGAACCCCGGAGTCGATCTATACCGAGTTCCATTCATAGAATCATGGAATGGTTTGGGTTGGAAGGGACCTCAAAGATCATCCAGTTCCAACCCCCTGCCATGGGCAGGGACACCCTCCACTACACCAGGTTGCCCAAAGCCTCATCCAACCTGGCCTTGAACACTTCCAGGGATGGGGCAGCCACAGCTTCTCTGGGCAACCTGTGCCAGTGCCTCACCACCCTCAATGTAAAAAATTTCTTCCTTATATCCCATCGAAATCTCCCCTCTTTCAATTTAAATCCATTGCCCCTTGTCCTGTCACTACATGCCCTTGGAAAAAGTCCCTCTCCAGCTTTCCTGTAGCCCCTTTAGGCACTGGAAAGCTGCTAGAAGATCACCCCGGAGCCTTCTCTTCTCCAGGCTGAATTCCACCCCGGGAGTTCATTTATGGCCTCTCGAAGGTAACAAAGGACGTAAAGGAAAGCACGACAGTTCTGATGGCTTCCTAAACAGCCTTCCAAGAGCACAACCAACGGCCTCCACTGTGGATGAAGAGCTTCAGACCTACGGAAGCTGCTGCTCAGGTGGGATCTGCACTGAGTGTCCCAGCTCCGGGTTTCCCAGCTCTGCCTTGGGCAGCTCTAAGCGCCTACGGCTTCAGGCTCTGTCGCACTAACGAAGCGACTGGCAGAAACACAGGGGAGTCAAGGGAGGGAGAACGTGGATGGCTCCCGAGTCCAAGCTTTAACCAGCAGTAAACTTGGAATCTGCACGGAAACTACCGACAACTGGGGATGCAACGCCAGCTCGAAAGTAGGACAAATTAAGGATTTATGGCTGCTGCTGCTAATACTCACCCAATTTCCACTCAAAGGCTTCACCTGGAGGTTAACGCCTCCCTAAATCTACCCCAGAGCTTCAAGCAACCTCAATCATTCTGCGCAGGCACCAGTAAGGAGCAGACGGACGCTCCCAGATTCCAGTGCTGCCCACAACTCCAGCCAGCCCAGCAACAGGGACCAGAACTGCAGACCTGCATCTACAGAGCGATGATTGCTCTGCTTCCCCCACCCCAGCTCACCTGCCCGAGACCCGAGTTAGTGCCAGCAAAAGCAGGAAAATCACATGCAAGAGAAAAAAATTCCAACCCTGCCAATCTGGAGCGGTTTTGGCATCCTCAGCCTTCAGTGCCAGCTTCTTAATCCCTGCTGGGAACTGGAGCTGGATCCCCACCGGACCCTCCAGTCATCCGACTGCCCAAGCTGCAGCATTTCTCATTCTGGGAGCTTGTTGGTTTGTTCTTGGAACTACCTTCTCCCTGGAAATGCCTTCCTCAAATCACCACAGCCAGCATCTCCTGGAGAGTCAGCTGTACCCCTCAGCACATACGTTGGTTGCCTGACCAACAGCCCTCCTCCTGCAACCCCTCCGTCTGTCCCGCGACGCAGACCGCAGGCCCAGGCTGCCTGTTTTCTCCTACATCCCCACATCCAGGAAAGATCTACAGGAGAGAGCTGAGTGCTGCACAGCGCCGGAGCCGGGACCACGGGGAAGCCACGTGAGCTCGGGTCAGCCTCGCTGGTGGCACATCGCAGCCACCGCTGACCCACCATGCTGCGCCGGGGGTCAGAGCCAACCTTTCCACCCTCATATTTACGGATCTGTCTCAAAATTGATGGTGGTTCAGGACGGAGCCCAAGGATACACCTGCAGTAAATTCACCCCTTTTGCTCCCCTCCAGGATCAGGGGTCGAGACGTCCACGTTGCAGTACCCAAGACGACTACATCCACAGAAAAAAACCACCCTCTCTGACTTGGCATCTTGTGCTTTCAACTCAACCACACCAAGGAAGCAGGAAGGCAGCCAGGATCCTTGAGACAGTACCTGGCACGTGTTGAGAGTCCAAATACTACGAGCTTTTCCTGCTGTCAGTGATTCGCTCCAAAAGGAGATCGGTATCGAACAGCTACAACCCCGGAGCACGCGCCCAGCGCTTCAGGTGTGGGTTTCAAGAGTGTGGAAGCAGGAAAAAGCAGGAGCTGCAGGAGGAAACAGTACTGTACCCCCAGCACCCACAGGGCCCAGCCTCACGTCAGGGCATGTGATGGTCGGAGCAAGCGTTTCCAAGAGGAACACAGCTCCAGACAGCACGGCCAACCCACTCTCCTGCCTGAAGAGGCAGGGGATAGACACTCTACAAGCAGCTTTCCTCTTCCCACCAAAACCTGTTCCTGCCAAGAAAGCCTGGAGCTTCAGTAACAATTCCCATGCTGATGTCAGCTTTTGAAGCGCAGCCGGAGATTCCCTCGGTGTGGTACCAGCGTGCTGTCGCGCACAGTCGGCCCTGCTGCTACCACACATGAACAGGGTCCTCTCCACCACCGCCTCGTGAGGCCTCAGCAAAGCAACAAAGCTCTTCACCTCCAGGAGATGTGACCAAGAACGCTTCCCCACGACAACTCTATCTGCCCTTGACTGTGACGGTCAGGAAAAGCTCTCAAGAGCAGCAGTGGGCACTTTCTCTAGAGGAGATGCCAAAAATTACCTGAGGTGCCTGCGTCTGCATCGGCTGCTCCTCCAGCTGGGGCTGGACAGTGCCCATGGCAGCCTGGCTAAGCGTGGTGACGCGGCTGGGCTGCCCGCGCAGCGTCACGGTGATGGTCGTCGGCGCCTTCAAGCCTAGAAAACACGCAAGCGAGACGGTCCTGAGACACGGGGACTGCGGTGGCCACGTTCACCGCCCGGGGGCTGCATCAGAAGCCTCTTCCCGTTAGAGGCAGCTGCTCTGAAATTGCTGACGCACACAGCTGTCCGTAGCTGCGGCTCAAAGGGAAAATAAGCTTTGGAAACGCCGGTCTTGGGATGATGGGGTGCTCCGGGTGCCTGCATGGCACGTCTGTCCCCTTTCTCCCTCACCTGCTGCCTGGTTGGAGATCTGAGCCAAGCCAGGGAGACTGCTGGCCAGCTTCGCCAGGCCCCCGTTCGTCAGCAGCTGGTGAATGGCCGTGGGCTTCCCGCTCGCTGAGGCTCCCAGAGACAAAGAGGTGGCAACCGGGATGGTACGGACAATCGTGCCAGTGCCCGTGGTGATGGCACTCAGGTTCTGGATAGGTGTGGGCGTTTTCACAGCTGAGGTCTGGAAGGAGAAGCAGAAGCACTGAGGACCTGGAAGGAAAGGGGATGCCGGGATGGCACAGCCTCTCCCTCCCACAGATGCTAGAGGTCTTTAGAGGTTTTCACGCTTCATTCTGGTGGCCACAGGCAAGTCTAAAGGCAAGGAAACTTGTCCCTTCCAGCCTGCACATTCTCATTCCAACTTGAAAGCGTGACTGGGAGAAAATGCGGCTCTGCTTCTAAGGAAGCCACGCATTCTGCACGAGGTCACCTCGAGCTGCAGGGATGGGGAGCTGCACTGAGGGGTCACGGGCGTGCGTCTTCCCAGAACAAGGAGAGAGATCGCTGATCCCCCTCCCCTGTCCATTCTCCAACTCCCTCTCAGTGTTTTCTAGGTGGCCACCACCGCCCTGCTTCCTAGACCTCGTGCCACTTACAGGAAAGCCCTTAGCTCTCGGCACACCATCAAGGCTCAGATGCGTAATTTCAGCTGCGGTTCACGCCTACTGTCCCTCATCTCCTCCGGTCCCGGAGCAAACATGGCCTGTCTGGGTTCCCTCTGACTCCCACCGCTTTATCCTCTTACAGTTTCCCTCCAGAGGGATCTCTGATGTTTGCAGGCTGCGTACCTGCGCGGGCGGCCCAGCAGCAGTCACGCTGGAAGGAAGGGCTGATGACTTGGCCCCCATGTCCTGCAGGCTGAAGCTCAGTCCTTGCAGCAGGCTGCTGGCAGATGCTGTTCCTAAAAAAAGTAAAGAATAAAGAAATCAGGCTTGGAGAATGCAGCAGCAAGATGTTCCACATCTCACAAGGCAGGTGTCTGTAAAACTGTTCTTCAAAAGGGAAGTGTCTCGAGCAGCCAGCCCCAAGGTCGGCAGGGATCCTGCCGGCCGCTCTACACGCAGAGTCCAACACATTTCATTGCTGCAGCTATAAATGAGGTTAGTTGTGCCAGGAGGCAAGAGGAGGTCGGGTTTGGTAACTCAAGGCATCGTTACATACTAATGACACAATTAACAGGTCACCTACTGTGCCTTCGGCCTCGTTTTATAGCATCCCACTGGATCTCTGCAGGCTCTGCAACAGCAAAGCGCTACAAACGCCACCAGGGAATGCAAGAAGAGGATCCACCAAATGATTGTGACCCTAGTTTGCTTCTTCACGTTCACAAGAGAGACACGGAGAGAGGCAGGTACCTTGGAGGGTGCTGGCTGACGAGCCCTGCATGCAGTGGGTGCTGCTGGCCACCAGCCTGCTCTGCAGGGCATGGAAAGCGCTGGGCGCCGTGCTGCTGGGGATCACGGCAGACGGAGCAGGACTCGTGGAGGAGGTTTCTGCTGCTGAGCTCAGCCTACAAAGCGAGCAGAAGACTCTGGTTAGCGATAAACTACACCAGACGACACGAGATGGCTTTGACAGTGAGCTGTCACTGGCCCAACGCAATCAAGCGGCACTCCTGGAAGCGTAAGGCAGGGAGTTGACGAGCTACAGAATCCCAAAGTGAGAGAAGTTTCCCTGTGTCCACCGCAGCAGCTAGAACAAGGAGCACCTATGGCAAAATCCATGTATTTCCAAATTGGAAGTGAGCTTGTTGTTTTGTGTGCACCTACCCAGGTGCTGCGAGGGCTTTATCACCCTACACAAAACCAGTCTACCTTGCAGTGAAACGTCTCCCGTTTGAAACCTACATTCTATTTGAGAGCAGCTCTTCTTCCTCTCCCCTCCCAGATCAGCCAGAGTCTGGTTCTCCAAAGCTCAGCTCGAATTAAAACAGTGACGGGAGATGTCAACGTCACATTCATTCCCCCACCAGAAATCCCCCTGGCCAGTTAATGAGCATCATGAGCAGATATTGAGGCTTCCTTCCCCTATCTTTGGGAAAAAAATGCTTCACTGTCAGAAGGAATGAAGGAAAGGATTAAGGACGACACCAAATTTCTGGCAAAGACACCACCACAGTCGTTCAAAAGCCAGAGATAAGCAAACATGGATTTGGGAGCCACAATACCTTCTATTTCTGCCATTCTCAGACTTGACTGCTGGTTGACAAATAGTTTTCAGGAGCCTAATAGTCTCCTGCACTTCAGAAAATTCCAGTTGTAAGCAAGACATAGGAAAGCTCCACGTGCAGAAATCGCCCTGTTGCCGTGCTTCCCACCAGCAGCCTGCCAAAAAGACCCCCAGCTTACAAAAACCCCAAAAAACTCACTTGGGGGCGGTGAGCAGTCCCGACAGCTCCTTCGCGCCCGCCACGGACTGGCCAACAGCCACGGGGACCGGCTTCCCCGCGACAACTGCAAAAGAAAAAGAAAAAACCTCCCTCACTCTCCATCCCGAGCCTTTCAGGATTCCCCCTCGCTCACACAACTACCCGCAGACGCGGCGGTGCTGGAGGCCACGGGCTCATCCCGCTCACAAAGTGTCATCTCAAGGAAACCTCCGCCGCGGCCAGAAACACGCGCTCCAGCCACCGCACACTGGGAGACTGGGAGTATCCAACAAGAGTCATGAATAAAAAACAGAAAGCTGCCGTCGTGGAAGTGTTAGGACAGGTGGGATTGAAGGAATCGGCTTCGAAACTCTGTCAGCAGTGAAATCTCAGGCCCTCACCACCTCTCTCCTAAACATTTTCTCCACTAATCCCCTCCTTTTAGTCCAGTTCTACCACCTCAACCGATTAATCCGGGTCTGGCTGGTCGCTACCCATCGATTTGGTGGGATTAGAGACACTTTACAAAATACACAGGGATGCGACGAGTCGTGGTATTTGTTTATTGCGGCGTTTTGGCATACAAGTGCGTTTGGCTTGTGCGCTCCTCCTGCTCACACACGGTAAGAGGGAATTCTTGTTTACTTCTGCAATTCATTTCCTTTCTGTGAAAAGAAGTAAAGTTTGGAAAATTAAAAAAAAAAATAAAATAAAATGAGATGCTTCCAAAGGAGCAGAATTATTCCTCAGCTTTGTAAACCTCCGATTTCCTATCGCAATGGAGACACTGACCCTTCAGCCTTGCACTGCATCGAGCTCACGCTACTAAGGAGCGACTCTGCGCTCCGACGTTGGGAAGTGGTACATGCCAGCGCGGGCAGCGACGAGGCAACGTCCTTCAGGTACCAGGGTGACAGCAGCCTGAGCTCCTGGACTCACTGGCAAAGGCTCGAGAGGAAGATGATGGAGCACATCACCTCTTCTTGGACGTCAGGGACCTCTGCAGCTTGTGTTGCAGTGAGTTCTCCCGGCCGCAGAGGCAGGAAGGGAGCTGGAATTTGCTTCTACGTGTCAGCGAGCGCGTATCGTGCCAGACTTCGGGCCCAAAAGAGATCAGCAGAGCAGGGCGCTCCGCTGAATCGTGACGTCTGAACACACAAAGGTCTTCCAGAGGCAGGAACATCGCCATCACCCCTGAAGCTGGAGCAAGTTCCAGGTGAGAGCTTTGCGATCTGGAGATGCGTACGACTTACTCGGAGCAAGGGGTCCGTCGGGACCGGCACCCCGCTTCCAGCAGCGGTTCGATGCCTCGGAGGAAGGTGTAAAATCCGTCTCGCAGCGCACGAGGCTGCGGCCGAGCGTTTCGCTGGAGCGCACGACCCCAAGTGCTATGAAAAACAAAGGCTCCTGCCAAGCTCCTCCGTGCCATCAGCCCCCACGCTTCCCCGGCGATCCCAAAGCCACTCACCTTCAGCCTCTGCCTGTTTTCTGCAGCTAACTCCTCCAAAAATCACCCCAAAATCACGGCTCCCCTCCCGCCCCACCCCAGAGGAGCGGGTCCGGGCGCAGGCACGACCCCGCTCTCCGGTTAAAAAGCAGCGGTGCGATCGCAACTCACTTTCTGCCTGGGTGGTGAGGGGTGCTCCGGTCCCCACGCCAGCAGCATCTCCGTGAGAGACAATGGTCACCTTGATTTTGGCTCGTTTGGAGGGTTTGGGGCACTGGGTCGGGCTGGGGGTCTGATGCCTCTTCAGCTGCACACGCACATCATCTTTTTCAGCCCCTTCCGAGTGCTCCGAGGAGACTGGAACTAGGGGACACAGAAGTAGCTTTTTGAAAACCGACGGCCGATCCCTCGAGGTCAGCGCTGCTCCGCCGTGCGCACCGAGGCGCGGAGAAGGGGACGCATGCCCATGCACACTTCCACAGCTCCCTCCATGCCAGCCTTGCCCATCTCCCATGCACCAGGGACCCACGCTCCTCTTTTTTGCCACCTACGCTGACTTCCACGCACCCCAAGCTGCTCTCCGGGGGTCAGGACTCACGAGTTCCTCACAGGCTGAGGCAGGACAGCGTGTAAAGCCCGTCTTGCCTCCGCAGCAAAGAAAAACAGATGCCTACAGCGACACCACATCTCCACGTAAACGCTTCTCCTTTCAAAGCAATCTCGGCATCAGGCCCCTCCAGCATCCCTAATTTCCAGGGGAGGGGATGAGGGTGCAGAGACTCACGGAGCTGGCGCGGGTGCGCTGCCGATGCCAGGATCGGAGCTCAGCCCACCTGCTCCTCCGACACACCAGCAAAGGTATTTGCACACCTGTCATCTGGCACATCCCTTCCCTTCCAGTGCTCCTAACCAGCACTGAGCGAAGCAGCCAGGAGCACAAAAGGTGCTGCAGCAAAGTCAAGCCCCCCCACGCCCCACGCTGCTCGGTACGAGGGGAGAAAAGCCACCAGCTGAGATTCCTCTTCCACACCAACAGCTCGTTTTGCTGCCGTGTCCTCAACCCATTATATCCATCCCATCCTGCCTAGCGCACAAGCTTGCCGGGGCCAGGGCTATCCAAAAAATCCATGACAAGCACCGCGACTGAAACACGGTCACAAGCTGCCACGTCCTGCCCATCCGTTCTCCACGTGTCTCCCGCTGCTGGCATACGAATGTCCGGCCCCGGCTCAAAACGCTGGCGGACTGGGTCGAAAGGAGGGTGCGGATCTGCCTCCCGCTGCGGTGTTCGCAGCCCGGCAGGGGCCGCCGTCGCTCCGCCCGAGCGCTGCCGTGATCTGCGGCACAGGGAAAGGCCTTTGCTCAAAGCTACGGAGAGCCCTCTCCGTCGGGAGCTTCTGCTGAGCCGCCTAGCTCCCTCTTTACAGATGGTCCAGGACATCTACGCCGTGTGCGCAACAGCCTGGAGGCCAAGAGGTACAAACCTTTTTATTTATGGATATCTAGACATGGATTTATTGCATAAAATTGATATAGATAGATGTGTGTGTGTGCGTGTGTACACTCCCTGCATTCACACCACCTGCACACCACTGAACTGTGGCTTTAGGATGAGACCACAGCCAAATCCCTAAATCTCAGGCGACTCCGAGAGTTTCGGGGCCACTCTGGTCCCCAAGACGAGCGCCGAGCCGGCTGTCCTGCCATCGACAGCAGGATTTGTGGCTCGAGCGTGTTATCCCGTGCCACTCGTGCAACGTTCCCGTGTCTCCCACCCACCTGCAGACATGCGTGGTCCAAGTCACCATCCAGGGAGACCTCATCAGGCGTGCACAGACTGCAGGCACCAAAGCTCCCCCCTCACAATGCCACCAGCCAAGCAGGACAGTGAAGGCACATGCACAGGCAGTGGCGTTAGGTGCCCCTGGAAGCATCGGTGAGCTGTGACCCGACGTCCCTCTGTGCCCCCATCGCACGAGAGCGGAGCCAAAACGACGGCGAACGCTCCCAACACACGTCCCAGCGTCCTACCTCGTGGCGCAGGCAGCCAACCAACGCAGTAAGGAGCCCAGAGAACTTTTGATCTTACAGAAAGGCAGCCCGGGCGGGTACCAGCCTCTCCACATCTCCCCACCAAAGGGGTAACACCCACTGTGGTTCCTCTTCCCAGCAGAAGCTGGGTGGGAGGACACTGGGTAAGTGCAGGGCTCCAGGCGTGCTCCCAGGCTAACCTCACCGCACAGGGGAGAGCACGGAACGAGGCTCGAGGGACAAAGAAACTTTCCAAACAACCAGCCCGCACCAATACTTGCCTCAGGAGTTTGTTACCCCGGTTGCATACGTGCAGTAAGGACTATATCTCGTGTGCTCGGGGCAAGGAGGGACACTGTGTCTTTGGAGCCTCTGGAGCATGTTAGAACATCACCAACTTCCCTGTGTCCTGCGCTCGCCTCGTCGAGCAACGAGCACCAGCATTTGGGGTGTTGCAGGGAAGCAGCTCTCACCCACGTCAACGCTCTCAGCACCCTGGGGTCGCCCCAGCGGAGAAATGACACCGACAGCTCGCGTGACAACATCGTAGCCTCCCAAAGCCTTGGATTTCAAGCTCTCGCCCTCTCCTCATCCCAGCTCCACAGAGTCTCTGCCATTCCAGACGGCAAAACGCGTCTCTAGACACGCTGTGGGTCTCGCCCCTCAGCCCCTAACCCTCAGAGCACCACACACACTGCGGTCCCACCGCTCCGTGCGCTCCAGCACCCAAGGTGAGTGATCACAGGACTAAAGACCGCTCACCTCCGCGTGTCTCCCGGTCCAGACAACATCCTTCTCCCACCACATCCCCATCTTCCCAAAGCCATCCCTCTCCCCGCGATCACAGGACTAAAGACCGCTCACCTCTGCGTGTCTCCTGGTCCAGACAACATCCCTCTCCCACCACATTCCCCATCTTCCCAAAGCCATCCCTCTCCCCGACCTCTCTGCTCTCCTCTCACTCTCTCTGGCCAAGAAACGCTGCTCCACGTGTCTACTCCGACACTCGGCTGCCCCTCGGTTCTGCTCCCACTGACAGCCCCTTTGCCGCTCCGCGTATTTCGGAGGCTCTACCAACACACGTGATCTCTCAGGCTGGTGTCCGTTGTCCCCTTCTCAGCCCCACCACAGGAAAGGGTTAAACTCAGGATCACAGAAAAAAAAAAAAAATCACCGTGTTGTCCACAGAGTTTTAGTCCATCAGAGCAAACCGGCTGCCAGACTACAGGGCTCGAGGGAAGCAGTACGACCCAGCGGAGCAGGGAAAGGCGGGATGCTCAGGGAAAACGTGAATGCTCTCGGCTTGCAGGTGGGCTGTTTGCTTCAGCTTCAAGTACAGCAACGAGGAAGCAAAAAGCAGCAGGACAAGGGGACACGTTGGGCCACATCCCCAAACCGATGCAAGGGAAGAGGAAGACGACGAGAGAAGGCAGCAGAGACAGAGAGAAGGAGGGAGACAGAGAGAGAGGAAGAGAGAGAAGTGAGGAGATACTCACCAAAGAGACATGAAGAGGTGCCAGGAGGAAGAGCTTTCCTCACCAGCATGTTTTGTTTCAGAAAAGCAGCGAACTGAGCTGAAATGAATCAGAGAGAATTACAGTATCACAGCCCGGCTCTGGAGGGGGACAGGGAACTCCAGCAACACCACTGCGACCCACAGAGACCTCGGAGCGGGCAGAGAGCTCCGGGCACGACTCATCCAGCCACGGAGCACAACAGAGACACACCGACCTCCTCTCTGGATGGCAGCGTAGCACATCCGACACTAGAAGGGGCATCATCCCAACACAGCCCAACAGCAGGAGCCCTCTCCAGCCCCACAGCCACCAGGAAAAGGCCTGGCGCCCAGGGAAGGACAGCAAGCCTGGGTGCGAGAGGCAACGGCTAGCTGGAGCAAGCATTCGCGTCGAGAAGCTGGGAACAGCTGGGAGACGTCGGCCAGCGCATCCCTGAACAGCGATGGCCACAAGACGCAGGCCAGAAGCCACGCTGCAGCAGTGCTCCTGACAAAACCAGGAGCCACAGGCCCTCCTCCTGCCTCCCGTCTGCTCTCTAGAAACTTCCCCCCTCAACTACAACAAAGGAATGGATTTCTTCCTGTCATCTGAGAAATTAAGGGAGATCCAAGCTTCAGCTTCCCCCTGGAGCCTACCCCTGAGTTAGAGGAAGGCTTTAAAGAATGTGGAGGGTCACACTGTCGCAGGAGACAACAACGAGCCTGTCCGGGTCTGTCTTGAACAAAGGAATAAGGAGAGAAGGGAGCATGGAGAACTATTCCCCAGATATTTGCCAGAAGGCATCATCGTCAACAAAAGCACCACCTACATTCACAACATTCACAATCAGACTGAAGCTGCACCGTAAGATTTTTAATCAGCATCCAACAGGACAAAAAAAAAAAAAACAAAACAACTAAACCCACAGCTCAAGCTGGTTCCTTATTCGGAGCAGGTTTCCCACTGCCATTTGATGCAAGAGGACTCTGATTACAACTCAACAGCCTCAATCATCTCCTAAGGACCTTCCATCTCCCTCCCGAGTCGCCTTCAAGGACAGGAGACACCAGTCAAGGGGCTCACACTCGAAAAAGCATTAGGAGCACAGCTACGGGGTGACTTGGTCAGCCAGAGCAAGTGCAAATCCTTTCCACTTTGACCAGCAGCGCAGCTCCACGAGCTGCGGAAACACCGTTTCCAACCTAATTCCAACCCTCCACAGGCTGCTGCCTTCGGATGACAGCGACACGGGACTGAGCTGTAGAGAAAGCTGCCACGGGGAGCTTGGAATTCAAGACAGGACTCAGCAGACAAAAACCTAAACAGGTCAGGACAGATAAAGACCCAAAATCCAGATGGCATGAGGGTGGGAAAGCTGCGGGGCGTTACCTTGTGCCTGTTTGTGCGTCAGGACAGCGTCCGTCCTCTGCACCTGCCTCTTCAGGAGCTGCGTGGTGCCCATCTGGCTGGGCTTCTGGATGGAGGACACAGCAGCCATTTTAGTCTTGGGGCTCGAAGTGGGGCTGCTGGAGACGCTGGACAAGTCCTGTTCCGAGAGAAGGAACATCTCTTACCCGCTGCTCCCCCGAGCGTAGCAGCGCAGCGGCATCCTTTTGCTGAAGCAGGTCTGGTTTTCAGGGGTTCGTCTGCCCGACCGCAAGCCCTCCGTACCCTCACCTCCCTCTTCCACCACTAACCACATCTCTCACCACTCATGCTACGAAAGCATCTTTTTACACAGCCTGAGCCCTCCCCAACTCCCAGCATCCCAGAGAGCGTCCCCACCTCCGAGCCCGAAGGCGAGGCGGGCACTTTGGCCGCCGGCGAGGCAGGCCTGCTCGTTCTTTCCGGCAAGTCAAAGGACAGATCCCTCCTGGTTGAGTCCCGTGGCTTCTTCTTCTTCTCAGCATCCAGGTCCCGGGGATCGGAGCCGGAGTGGCTCTCCGCTCGGGTGAGGACTCCAGTCAGGAAGTCAGCTATTTCGTCCTAGGAAGGATGAAACAAATGGTTGGACTAAGCGAGTGCAGGTCTCTAAACAACTGATTCACAGGTTGAAGCAAAAAAAGAGCAAATGATTCCCAAAGGGATAAAGTTCTCCAGGTTTAATATTCTGCAAAAAGAAACCCTAAAACCTCACAGACTTTGGCTTTCTCATTAAAGAGAAATTATTCCACTGATTTCTGACACACAAGAGAGAACCGTGATGGTTTCGCCAATGCTCCCAGAAGTCCTGCTGGCTTCCACAGGCAGATGTGCTGGAAGACTGAGAAAACTGCTCTTTGTTTAAGGTGCACTACCAGGAAGCTCATGTCTCATCTCCTGAAAGGAGACAGCCACTTCCAAATCCCGCTCGGGATATAGATTACCTTCAATCCAACCCATCCTGGCAGGAAGGTTATAACTTGTGGTCACTGAGATATTTCAGCACAGCTTTTTTTTTTTTAATAGATATGCGGTGTAAAAGGAAGATTCCGGTGGTTACCTGGATGCACCTGTCCACCATACTCTGGGTCAGGCCTTCCAACTTCTTTTTGGCTTTGCTTATCCTATTGAAAAAAAAAAAACAGATGGAAGCTGACAAGTTTGGTTTTCCACTTCCACACTCACAGCATCATTCTTCACCTGAGAGTAAGATTCCAGCAGCAGCAAGCTCGCTCCCTCACCCAGCTGGACACAGGAGCAAGGCAAGAGCCAGCTCTGTCAGCTCTCAGATCAAGAGATTCCCAGCTAACTGGGACGACGAGAATCATCTCTCGGAAGTGCCACAACAAACTTCGACAATGAGGAAAAAGGCCAGTATCCCAAAGCATTTTGCAAAGCAGATATGATGTCTCCTTTCCTTCAGAGCTCTGTCGTCAGACCCAGTGTTGAAGTTTCCTTCACTGATTATCTCTACTACAGGCTTTGGACTTCCAAGATGCTCCAAAACCTTGTCTGTGCTGCTGAGTCCAGCTCCAGCGTCAGGCTGACCCTATTCTCACACCCAGCTGGCTCAGGTTTTTCACGCAGTCATCCCGAACACGCACAAGCACAACAGGAGAAAAAGCTCCAAAGTTTACTGAAACCTTAAGAGCTTCTTGTCTCCTGCAAGGCTCTCACAGCCTCCCTCACCCCAATTCCGTGCACAGCCTCCAAAAGCAACGTATTCCAGAGCCAGAGGTGACATGGAAAAGCAAACACTTGCTCTAGTGTCGTACCACACCGTACCCTGGATCTTTAAGTTAACACTGGGAGAAAGGATGCGGATTTATCACAGAAAACCAACCTGCTGTCCATCACACCAGGTTCTGAACAACAAAGCTGATCTTCATGGAGAACTTTTTACGCAGTTCCCATGGAGTTTCAGTACCGAATTTGGGGTTGTGTTGAGGTTTTTTTGTACACAGCACGCTCAGATCTTTCCCAGTGCTCCTGGGAAGCAAGTTTCCATCTCGCAGACCGTTACCTGAGATTGTCATCTGCTCCTCCCACCACCACCATGCTGTTATCGGCTCGTATTTTCTCCCGGAAATCTTCCATCGCTTCGACGTTGCACTGCAGGGAATTCTGACCGATGACAAAGAGGACAGGGGTCTTCATCTCCAGGAGGGGGTCATCAACATCCTGCAAGAGCAAGGGGAACTTCGGATACAGGCGAAGAGGCGCTAACAGCAAAGCTTCCTGGGGTGATACCCCCTGGTATGGCTTTACACAGCCATACCAAATCCTGAAGAAAACTCCAGCTGCACCGTGCTCCAGCAAACGCCTTCCATACAGATTCCCACCACCTTCAGAATCAGCCATTTCATTGGCACAACCGCAACCACTCCAACACAGTCACGCACTGGTCAGCTAATAAAGGAGCACTTTGGGCTCCATATAAATCAACCTAAATTGTCCTCTCTGAGGCCAAATGACGCCGTTAACGAGCAACCCACGCGTGAGACTCCAGGAAGGAGCTGCAAAAACACGTCCCAGCACAGACAAGCAAACACAAGATTCTCTCGCCTGCTGTCGCATCGAGAATTCTACCAGGAATGCAAGAGTCCCGCTTGCGGGGCACATCTCCAAATAAAAATCACAGCCGTTGCTCAGAAAAAAACTTCCAATTATCACCAGACTTCCAAGCCTGATTCTATGAAATGATGTAGGGAGATTAAAAAAAAAAAATAAATGTACAGTTCTTTAAATGACTCCATCTCCCTTTGGTCCTTACCCCTCTGGGGCCATCAACGGTGAGAAGTGGGAATCCAAGGCACACAACCGCAGTGACGTACTCCATCACTGAAACCTGGGCACAAAAAGCAAGTCAGCATCCTAACGGTCGAACGCACCAATGGCGCGAAGGCTGCTTTGCCAGGCTCCTGCCGGGCACAGAAATATGTTCTATGCTTAAACTTTGCTTTGTTGATTAAAAGAGTGAGGAAAAAACATTGAATGACCCCAATTGCTTATGCCCCCATGACCAGAAAGGATGTCTGTCTCAAAGCCAGGCCTTGGAAAGAGAAAAGGGACAAGAACCACCCCGCAGAGCCTTAAAGGCAGCAATAATTCAAATCCAACTCCGAGCTGAAGCTGTCGAGTGGGCTCTGAGAGGATGCAAAGGAATTGGACACTTACGTGACAGGCCACCAAGGCACCCGTGTTCCACCCGATCAGGATGATCGGCTTGTGAGAGAAGTGGTTGTGAATCTACGGGAGAAAAAAAAAAAGAGACATCGATGGAGAAGAGGGGCAGCCAAGGGGACGAGGCACTGGGGTGGCACAGCACCTCCAGGCGAGGTGAGGCAGCGAAGGCTCCCCGACACGCCGGTCGCTCCGACTCACCTCCGCCACTTTGCCCCTCACCGCCCCGATCATGTGCTCCAGACACTGCAGCACTCCCACCCCGCCGCCGTTGTTCAGGAGCTGGGTGGCGATGGGAATCACCTGCGGTTTGACACGAAAGATGGATAAACGACGGCGGCATTCCCGAGGGCAACAGGTACCGACAACGATTAGCGCCAACTGAAACCCGCGGTACGCGTGAGCTTGTGCTTTCTCGCTCCTTCTCTGCCCTGGGATTCACTTCTGGCTACTAAAACAGAGGAAACAGAGAATTCCCCACCAAGACAACCTCTGCTCACCCCGCTCCTACACACCCCGTGTATCTACCACCTCAGGAGGTGTGTGAGCAGCTCCATGTTCCAGCAGAAGACTATGGGGACCTGCAGTCTCCCTCCTCTAATGTCTTCCTACCGGAAGATTCATCAATCCTTAATAACAGTAATGACACAATCTAAACTGCTGAAGATGGATGACTTTGGTGGGCAAGAGACCCCAAACGCATCAGATTTGGGCAATTTCATGCCCTGTGCAGTATCTCAAGGCCACAGGTGGCAGATGCCAGGCTCTGCTCTCAGCAGAAGCAAGTATTTTGGTGCCCCGAAGGCTTATGAAAACAAGCTCAGCAGGTGTGGTCCAGCATAGCTGCTAGTTTGAACTTCCCACCTTTCAAAACCAACAACACAAACCTTTCCCAAGCAGGAAAGCTGCGACTGCCAAAATCGGTGCCGTCGAGAAGTGGGGAACATGGAGTTGGAGGGTCCAGAGGAAGCGATCAGGATGAGGGGGGAACCAGGCAATTTGCTCTGCAAAGTTCAACAAAAAGAGACACATAAGGGAAAGCAACTTCCCTGCCCAAGACCGTGCTGCTCAGCCTGGCCTGCGCAACGGAGCGAGAAGGATCTTGCACAGCTCGTTAATCGACCACGTTTTCCCCAGCCAAAGTTGCCTCAGGATAGCACCGGCGGAATGTGTCCAACAGAAGGAGTCCCCCTCACTGAGCAAGCCTCAAGCAGGAGGAAAAGAGCCCAGGAAGCCTAAAGCAGGAGGAAAAGAGCCCAGGAAGCCTAAAGCAGGAGGAAAAGAGCCCGGGAAGCAAGACAGAGGTGGGAGGAAGAGGACAGCAGGAAGAAGGGATGAATAAAGCTGATGGGAGAGCAGCCCCTCGAGGCACTCACCGGTTTATTATGTGACAAGACGCCCACCGCTGGGTCCCACGGCCTCTTCAGCAGCAGGGACAGAGCCTCGGCACCCGCTGCCCCCGTCTTCGCGGTAGAGGAGAGCAGCATCCTGTCGATCAGGGTGGGGATCTGAAACCAGAGGGCAGAAAGGACTGAAAAAAAACCCCACACGGTCTTTTCAAGGGGCTTCCAAACATCATCCCTGCCACTCCCAAGAAAAAGGATGAAGGCTCCACCACCTTCCTTTAAGGAGCTTTATAAAGGGAGAAGATTATAAGTGATGGCAAAGTCTTTTGCTGCTTTTATCACCTTTCCTTTAAGCGTTTGCAGAGCATCCAAGTAAGCAGCCAGCACTGGCAAACTAAGGGTTTCCACTAATGTTGTGTGGAGCCACTGGATCAGTTTGGTGTCCCAGTTCACACTAGCCAGAGCTTGGCGGACCCTCCGAGCACATTTGTCCACCGCTATCCTCCTCAGGACCGGCTCGTTGCAAGCCTAAAAACCAGGAAATTAAAAAGAAAGAGTTATGTGAAAAACCAAGCATGCCACGTGCATCCCAAGGCAGAGGAAAGTGTTGGCTCGGGCAGCCCAAAGCCCTCTGGCAGCAAGCAACGACCAACACCCTCTCAGCAAGGACAAAACATCCTCACAGAAGCCCAGAGCTGTCTGTTTCTTAAGACTACAGAACCCAAAGGCCATGATTTTCATCCTGACTCAGCCAGGCTCTGCTAGGAAGGGCTGGTAAAATCCACCCAGGCACCAGCTCTGCCGGAAAGCGGAACAGGGAGTAGGAGACCTTACCCCTTCGTTAGCCAAGCGAGCCAGGCGGTCAGACTGCAGCGCTTTGTGAATTTTATTGAAGAGCTTGTTCTGGGCCATCGTCCAACCCGTCCTGTCGAGAAAACCAGAGCGGTAACGCTGCGACACGGGCATCCGGGTGCCTTCCCAAAGGCAGCGGGCAGCACAGCCGGGCACCGGCCGCGAGCACGGCCTTGCCAACCCACTTCTGGCTACGCACAAAGCGAGTTTCGCTACTGAGGATTTCAGTTGGAGGATGGCTCGATGGAAAACACCAGTTTTAAATCACTAGAGTGTGTCAGTGAACGTTTAAACATCACAAAGGAACAGCACAAGCGATAAATATGACCAAAATAATCCTCTTTTTAGCGTAGTTGATCACCACACTCTTCAAACAAACCATCCAGAAAAAAAACCCACAGCATTCCTCATAACTTCAAGACTGCAAACGAGATTGACTACAGCTTCAGGGAAGGTTTTTAATTTACACACGTCCTCATTTTTGATTTTTGGCACTGGAATATGGCTGAATCGAGGATCTCCGTGTCATCTACCGACTCACTGTCCCAACCTCCTCCGAATCAAGGAGACAGCTTCACACGAAGCATGTGGGAGAGGTTCCCCAGTTGGGCCAGCCTCTACCATGACATCCTGACGGCTTTCATAGCAGGCAGAGGAATTTGGACACAAGAATTCATTTTCTTTGAATTATTCAGTTCAGGAATGTCACTGTTAAAAACAAAAAAACCCACACCACGCCACAGGTGGCTCTTGAGTGCCCGAATTCCTTTTCCCCCCCCGCCGCTACCTGTTGACGTGCTCCTCCCAGTCGTCCGGCGGCGGCGGGGCATCGGCGTCGGTGCGGGCGAACATCACGTGGCGCTCGCACTCGTTCATCACGCTGCGCGCCTTCTGGTTGTCGTAGAGCGGCACGGGCGTGGGCGTCACCGTCTCGACGTCGATGGGGACATCTGCTTCGCTGTTGGGGGGAGTAACGGTGCTTCAGAGGAGGGGACGGCTCAACCCGGGGGTCTGCCGTGCTTTCAAATGAAAAGTCCACCCAGCTTCTCGACCAGGGGGCTTGTTATTCCGGTTCTGAACCCCAAGACCAAGCCCCCAAGCTGCGGCCCCGAGCGCGCTCCCATCCTTCGCCAC